AATCTGACACAAATGTCCACTTGGACTGAGGAATCAACTGATTAGAATTTTGTGATTTAAGGTCGATGGTCAAGGTCAGCGTATATGTATGTATATATCTATATCTATATATATATGTGTGTGTGTGTGTGTGTGTGTGTGTGTGTGTGTGTGTGCGTGCGTGTCTATTATAACATTTTATATCAGAAAGGGCAAAGGTCAGCTTTGCTGTGACATCATAATGTTCTGCATTAAACACTTTTCTGGCCATTATTCAGTGTCATACCTCAGAAGGACAGAAGACAAAACATTTGGTCAGGTAGGTCGTGCGCAGAGGCATACAACCATGGGGCAGTAAGTCTAGTTACATAGAAGGACACTCAGAGAGCGCAGTCTTCTGGGACGGCCAATCACTCTATCTCACAATGTCAACAAAAGTGGAGAATAATTTGTGTATCTGCCCCTGTAATTCTGATCCACTCTAAAATTTAATGGGCTCTTACTTGGCCCATGTTACAATCTTCCTCTAGATTTCTAAAAAAAAAAATGGCCAGTAGTTTTTCTTTAATCTAGCTATCAAACAAACAAACAAACAAACCAATTACACAACCTGTTTGCCAGAGGTAATAAAACAGTGTTTATAAAGACTGTATAAGTACAGTTATGACCTTCAGGCAGCATGACCTCATGTTTATTTCTCTTGCTCTTTTGCCTCTCATCGTGAAATGTTTGATTTATCATAGAATCTCATTATGTTAAGATGATCATTTGTTTCATATTGTGACCTTCATAAAACCCAGAAGATGTGTGAATGCATTCTTTAAGTGTTTTAATGAGAGAAAAGCTCTAGGTCCTTAGGGTATCTGTGCATGCATTCTTTTTCCTCTGGCATCTTTTCCACATGTCAGTTCAGCTTCACATAATTTAGAGGTCTTCTAATGTGGCACTGGTTTCAAAGATAAATAATCCTAAACAAATAAATGAGTTTAGATCAGTCTCTCGCATGTCACAAGTTATTAAAATGTAAAGATATTAAAAACTAGGCTCTTACTGGTATTGAGGAAAAGCTTGCTTCGCTGCAGTTTGATGATCAAGCGTTTAAACATCTGAGCTCTTTATCCTCAATATGCTTGCTGTGTACTAACATCTGGAGATGCCTCAGGCCCATGCCAGGCTGTTGTTTGCACAGTTTTTCTTCTACCTCTAATCACACCTCTTCAGAGAGACAAGAATGCGATGCTATTGCATTTCGGAGGGGATTGATTTTTGTAGGAGAAATCAAGGGATTTTAAAATTACATGCACTAATGAGTAATTTTAATCCTGTCTGGAGCCTATACGTGCAGGATTGTTTTCTGTCTACTGCATTTATAAATACCATCTATTTACTCAGTGTTTTTTAGCGCACTTGTTGGTCCTCTTGTAACAATACAGAGAGATAGAATGGAGTTACAATATATATAAGACCTTGTTGTTCAACAGCCTTTATGTTAATGTGGCGGCATTATGTAAAGTCAGACTTGTGCTTGTGTTTAAAGTGACACGGAGAGGGTTTTTTTTCAGATTGACATTAGGAATTTTATTTAAAATCAGTCAGGGTGATTATTCAGATGTGAGACAAACATGTTAAATTGACATCAGAATAACGTAAGGAGGTCTGAAGGTCTCAATCTGTGTCTATCAGGCAGAATATCAGTCCTGTAAGAGACATAAAACATTAAATTCTCTGATCAGTCTTGTACGAATGAGTGGAAACTGTCAGTGTATTCCCCTGTAGGATGGTGTGAAGCCCTCAGTTTTATGCTCTAAAAACCACAGACCTACATTATTCTTGGTTCAACTTGGTTGCTGTGGTTACTTATTTTTGCTTGAATTTTAACACTTCTGCTATACTCTCCAGGTCGCAACACTTAGCCTACTGTCTTAAAGGTGCCCCCCACCCCTGCTGGTAGTGCAGACTTTCCACTCTTGCAGATGATTGTTGGTACATCATTTTAGAAAATGCATATTTGTCAGAACTGGCCTGCCAAAGCATCCAATTGGGCCCACTGGATGACTTTGCATTCCTAGTATTGATGTACTTGTAAAGGCTAAGAGGTATCAGGTTTCAGGAGCAAGTTAAACTGTGAGTAGCCTATGTTATTTAAAATGCTGCTTAAAAGGCTTTTCAACCCAGATTACAGCTCTCTGACAAAACAATGAATACTTATTGTGGTCATATTCAAAGACACTGAACATTGTGCAAAATATTGTCAATCAGCAGCTTCAGTAGAAAAGAATCTGTATCAGACTACTATCTTAAAACAATATTGGTGGAACCCTATTGCTAAGGCACTGCCAAAACTTTACATTTGTAAATGGCTAGTAAGGCAGAGGATAACTTTCCATGCTTCCTCAATAGCTTCCACTTTCCACAGGAGTGGAAATGTGTGGAAAAATGCAAATATAAGCAGCAGGCAGACTGAATGTTGAAAAGCTGGGACATATTGTTCAAACTGTACTATTCTTTCTTAAGACACCAGGCTGTTCACCATCTTTTTGTAAATGGACAAATGTTTTTAGAATGTACTTGAACTTCTTTTCACTGAAGGAAAGGGAACATTTAGAGGTCTTGTAATTTATAGGTTGTGATGCATTGGTTAAACAGGTCTGGCCCACTTGACATCAACTTGGGCTTTATGTGGCCTATGAATTTGACACCATTGTCATAAACTAAGAACATACACAAAGTTGTCAATTCAGCCTCTGTAATTTTTTCAGCTGTTGTTCTATTTGTATGAAAGTGGTGATATGCAGACCACTTTTAAATCTCCTTACTAATGACTTACTAATGACATCATTAGTTAAAATAGAGCTACTTAATATTTCACGGTGTCCTACAATGTTAGAATGCAAGAGTGTTTATAGCTATCCCAAAAGGCCTCCCTTAAAGGCAAGGTAAAACGCCAACAGTCATAGAGTGAGGGAAGGCGTGATAATCTTTTAAAAATGGGGACAAGGGGCGGCACGGTGGTGTGGTGGTTAGCACTCTCGCCTCACAGCAAGAGGGTTGCCGGTTCGATCCCGGGCGTGGGAGCCCTTCTGTGCGGAGTTTGCATGTTCTCCCCGTGTCAGCGTGGGTTCTCTCCGGGCACTCCGGCTTCCTCCCACAGTCCAAAGACATGCAGATTGGGGACAAGGTTAATTGATAACTCTAAATTGTCCATAGGTGTGAATGTGAGCGTGAATGGTGTGTCAGCCTTGTGATAGTCTGGCGACCTGTCCAGGGTGTACCCTGCCTCTCGCCCGATGTCAGCTGGGGTAGGCTCCAGCCCCCCCGCGACCCTCAAGAGGATGAAGCGGTTAGAAAATGAATGAATGAATGAAATGGGGACAACACACATTGTCAGACAGTCTTTTCCCAAAGGTATTTATAAGGTTGCACTAGTTTGCTCATATTAATAGTGACAGAAATAACTTTGTAAAGAATAAAAAATGACTTAAATCCCATTTTCCACTGTACAGAAAATCCACTGACATCAAGCTTTTCTCTGTTTAATGGGAAAGGTTACAATCAGGATTTACTTCCAAGTCATATGGCTCTGCAGTAGTTACGGGTATTTATCAGCTTCAGTTTCGATTGTCTTCGTTCGGCAGTGATGGAGATACAACACCCAGCTGGATGTGCAAATTTTATTCCATTGGATGGTGTGGTGCAATGACAGGCCACCACAAAATGTTACCATCTAAGCAGCGCTCAAACGTTGGTCAAAATTTTGTCAGTACTGAGTTTAAAAGAGAAACTGAGTAAGTAACAGGTATAAAAAGAAGTATCAACTGTAAAATTTTCACTGGCCCCCATGCTGCGTTCTACTGTTTACTAACCTTCTTTTTGGCCCATCCGTGACGTTGAATGTGAAACACCAGATAAAAAGGGCATACTCCTCTACTGCAGAGCTGTGGGTCTGCTGGCAACAGGAGAGCAGTCTATCACCTATTTTTTTTCCCCCAACATTTAAAAAAATCTGCATACACCCACTAATTGTGGTGGAAAAAGTCTATCACACCCACTAACATCTGGCTTTTGTATGTAATGAGAAAAGATATACATTATTTTTCAGCTGCAATGGTATGAATGGTAGTGATGAAAACACGACACCTGGGTGGATGCGGAAATTTTAGCCGTTTTGCTGGCGCAATGCAAATACAATACAATACAAATAAGACTCCGTTCAAGCAGCATTCAGTAATCTATCAAAATTTATTTGGCCCCAAATTTGAAATAGAGACTGAATAAGTAAGATATAAAATAAAACAAAGTAATCACCAAAACATTTTCACTGACCTCCATCCTGCTTTCTACTGTTTCTGAACCAGTTTTCTTGCCCGGCTGTGACATTGAACATGACACACCATGGCATGGCATACTCATCTACTACAGAGCCATGTACACTGCTCTGGTCTACTGGCAATGACAAATCAGTCTATTGCCTACCTTTAATAGTTTTTCCTGAATTTACAAAACCTTCATACACGTGCTAATTTTGGTGGGAAAATCTAATAGAGAGGGGGAAGTAGTGATAATTGTTTAAATGGGGATAATGGTGCATATTGTCAGATGGTCAGTCCTCAAAGGCATTCATAGGGTTGCACTCACTTGTTCATGCTTACTGTCTCACACCTACACAATTGGGCAGTCACTGCATAAAGTGGGCGTGGCTGTTGGATGCAGCCCTCCAAATTCTGATGCTGGAGAGGTGTAGGGTAAGAGGGTTTAGAGGTGATTTAATCATCAAACAAGCAATTCAGTTGCAGCGTACTGATGCTTTTAATGTGACTGCATGTGTATCTACACTGTGATGTATTTACAGGGTGATAATGTTGTGTGTTGTCTTTGCTGTGTCATCATTTCCAAGCCTCTCTGTTCTGCATCTTTACCCTGTCAGCGTTGACTCATCCTGTCAGCAAGGTCACAGCACTCCGTTTCTCCATTACAGCCATCCGTCCTCTCTGACTGATGCCTGACACTCTCTCCACTCACAGACTGGTCCTCTCATCCGTGTCGGACTACTTTGCAGCCATGTTCACCAGTGATGTGAGGGAGGCCAAGCAGGACGAGGTGAAAATGGAAGGAGTGGACCCTGATGCATTGTGGGTCCTGGTGCAGTATGCATACACAGGTATACAGACACACTGGTTGGCTTTATTAGAAATAGATCATAACATAATGACAAGCAAAAATAACATACCATGATGTTTAATGAAATTACTTGGAAATAAAACTAGCATTAGCATTTCCAGTAAAACAAATTGGCCTTTGGCTGGGTGCCACAGACGGGTTAGGCAGGTTGAAAAGTTTTGAAAAAGACTGACATTGTTCCCATAAACCTAACAGTAACTTTGTTATTGTTAAAAGTAAACAAACAATCCAGACCATGCACTGTAGCTGAGTGTACATGCGCCATGCATATGTAAGCCTCAGCTGAAGTGATAGTTTGAGCACACAGTTTTAAATATTTTTGAGATGGTCGGGATAATTCCAATGGTAACCGACTCAAAACAACTCCAACTACTGTTTTGCATGTGTACACTTTTGTAAGAATAAGAATTAGAATAACTTTATTCATCCCCAAGGGAAAATTCAATTATCTGTCAGCTCATTATGTCAAAGAATTATAAAGCCTGATGGCTATTGGTATATAGGATCTTCTGTATCTCTCTGTCCTGCATTGAAGAGAGAGGAGTTGTCCACCACAGTTTTTTTGGTCCATCAAGGTGTTGTGGAGTGGATGATCTGGGTTGTTCATGATGGCCTCGAACATCTTCAGTGTGCATCTCTCCACCACCTCCTCCAGTGTGTCCAACCTGACTCCAATCACAGAGCCAGCTCTTTTGACTAGTTTGTCCAGCTGCCTTGCATCTTTGTGTCTGATGCTTCCTCCCCAGCAGACTGCAGCATAAAACAACACACTTGCCACCACAGACTGATAAAACATCTGCAGCATCTTACTACAGATGTCGAGAGATCTATTTATAGCTTGGCACCACCTCCATGTCCACCCCACAGGTATTCACTGGCTGAAGAGGGGGCTTGGACCTGTGGAAATCTATGATCATTTCCTTGGTCTTTGAGGTGTTCAGGAGGAGACAGTTCTTGTCACTCCAGTCACTGAAGGCTTTTATCACGTCCCTATATTCAGATTCCTGCCCATTCCTGATACACGCCACAATAGCAGTGTCGTCCGAGTATTTCTGGATGTGGCAGGACTCAGAGTTGTATTTGAAGTCCGCCGTGTACAGTGTGAACAGGAATGGAGCCAGGACAGTCCCTTGTGGAGCCCCCATGCTGCTCATTAATGTCCCAGAACGTTTAATCTCTCAAACAGAAATTGTGAACAGTGGCAAAGCTTGGATGGGTGTAATTAATGTTAAGTAGATTTTGGTATTGGAATACTTCACCCCCGAAATGACCATTTGTATATGAGCTACTCACCCCGTGTTACGCTGAAAAGAAAAATTTGTTTCTCTCACATGCCTCCATGGTCTACAAATAATCCAATAACAGAAAATTCTTGATGAATTGAAGTCATAGGGATCCACATTTAACAACAGCAAAACTATATCAAAACATCTGTTTACAAACTCACACAACTCGTGCCATATAATCCAAGTCTCATGTATCCGGCCGTATGCTCAGTACTTCTCAAAACTTTTCCATGCTCTCTTCAAAGCCAGACTCCATTGACAAAAACAGTAATTTTACCAACATGGTAAGGACAAGGGAGCTACTTGTCTACCACTGCCTCACATCAGTAGTTTCTTTGTGTTATTGTGTGACTTTACAGAATCTGAACTAACCCCTTAAAAACACCAAAGTTGGAAAGGGCTGTCTGTTTGGGAAGTACAGAGAATACAACTGGATAATTGAGACTTGGATTAAAGTGCAGGAATTACAGTATGTGAGAGTTTGTGAACAGATATTGCGAAACGTTTTACTGTTACTAAACACGGACCTCTACAACTTCAATTCATCAAGATTTTTTTCTGTTTTTGGATTTTTCGTTCACTGGAGGCATGCAAGATAGATTTATTCACAATTTCATCATAATACGGGGTGAATATTTGGTGTACAAATTATCATTTGGGAGGTGAGGCATTCCTCTTAAGGTGTTCTTTGTGACATACAGAGCATTGATATAGAAAAAAAATTGCTATGTAAAGATAAGAGCTATACCTGACTCAGAATTATGTCAGTCAAATCAGATTTAGCTGCTCAATACGAATATTTGTCAGTAGTTTTAAAGTTTAAACGGGGCTCAGCAGGACATTCATTGTGACAGGGGCATTCACATAATACAGTAAACAAGTTAATGGTGCTAAGGACAGATTGGAAATGTGCTATTTTTTGCTGACACTAGATATCAAACAAAAGCCAGAGACTTCATTGTATTAAGTTGCAGTGAGATGTAAATTCACCACAGAAGACAATGTGATCTCAAAACCTTAGAGTGAAAAGCCTCCCCCTCTCTGTGCCGCTGCCTGCGTGTCCACAGCTCCCTGTGCCAAAGAGTAGTATGAAAGTCAAGAGCACCTACTCTGTGCACTCACTAGCAAAGAATAAAAAGCACTGCTCAAGTTGAAGCAATCTCAGTTGACTGAGGAGACTCCGACTGATGATTCAAATCTCCCACTTTCAAAGGGCAGTCCAAGTCGAGATAAAGTAATGGTGTCCTGATCAGAGAGTGAATTCATGCTACTTGTAGTCCAAGCTTCTTTGTGGTTTGTTGTGGTAAGCCAGTTCAGCAGTGCATGCATGTCACACTGGCTAGCTCATTGGCAGCACTCTGCACCGCTCTCGTACAGCAGTTACCACTGATACTGGGATGGCGTCCTCATGGAGGCATAGTGCCCATCCTCCAATTCCTCTTGGTTAACATCATTAGCTCTGTCAGCACCGTTGCCTTTGTTTAGAGCTGTTTATGGGGTTAGCACTGTTAGCTGCTAGCCACCTCCATGTTGAGAACCTTGTCCAGACAACTCATATACTCTAAATTTTGCACAGAACCCCTTTGAGGTAAAAAAAAAACAACAAACAAAACATGCTACTCTTGATCTCATAGCCTTTTAAATAATAAATCTTAGACACTTTCAAAGTCCTGCTGTAATGATTCCTGTCCTGCCTCCTCACTGTCTTCCTTCTCCACCATCTCCCCACTTTGTCTTCCAGGCCGTCTCGAGTTGAGGGAGGACACCATTGAGTCTCTGCTGTCAGCCTCATGCCTGCTGCAGTTGTCGTCAGTGGTTCAGGCCTGCTGTTCATTCCTCATGAAGCAGCTCCACCCCTCCAACTGTCTGGGTATCCGCTCCTACGCCGACGCTCAGGGCTGCAATGACCTGCAGAGGGCCGCTCACGCCTACACCATGGTGGGTACACATGACAAGGCCAGTTCATCTCTATACCTCCACAGATTGTAGAGCCACCGCGAAAAAGAATACAACAACTGCTTTGGAAAATATACATCTAGAAATGATGATGTTGATTCAGGTAGACCGCAGGTGATGCTTAGGTTTAAACAATTAATTAAGAGCAATAAATGGGGTTCTTTCATCTCTCCGTTTCACAACTACCCCTCTCTACCTCCATACAGTTTTCCCTGGTCAGACTTCAGTCATTTTTCAGCCATCCAGTTATTTTTGGTAACAAATTGGTTCCTTATTCACAACGCACCACACACCATTATCGCCACAATGGCTGTTTTCAGCACAGGGTTGCTATGGTGACTGTGAAATAGCTCTTCCATCGACTTGATTATTCTTTTTCTTTTCTTGTTCTCTCTCCTGTCTTAACATGCCTTTTTCCCACCCTGCCTCCCTCTATGATTCTGTCTCTGTCACTGTTCCTCTCTTTCTTCCTTTCTCTCTAAGTGGATTATTGTTAAACTATAATCTGTGGTAATTATGTTGTAAAGGTGTCTTTATCTGGGTGTGACTGTCTGCCTGCGTCTGTATTCACACACATACACAGCTCACAGGATTATTACAGGCAGTGTGAGAGAGCTATACAGTAGACTGTGTAGAGAGAAGTGTGGACTGTTTTCATTTCTTTATTAATTTTAAATGTTTTATTTATGTAGGAATCAGGTCACATTTACTTAATTAATTAATTTACTTAATATTTTGATAATCAGTTAGCTGTTAAAGACATTCTGCAGTTCCAGCTTCTTCATTGTGAGGATTGTGTTTTGTGATAACACAATGTGTGACATTATGCAGACCAAATGATAATTCATTAACTTAGAAAATAGCAGATAATGAAAATGATTGCTAGTTTCAGCCCTGCTCTGTACTTCTAAGGCAACCCCCTTCATTTTTCACTGCCAAATCATTCCAACCTTTTCTCATCCAACTTTTTTTCTCCAGCTTTTCATTCATCTTCCTCTGACCTTTCTCAAGCCCTCATTTCCTTCCTTTTTTTCCTCTCTTCTTGTCTCCTTCCAACCCCGTGATCCCTTTCCTCTCTCCACTCATATTTTCCTATTGTTTTTTTTCTCTCCTCTCATTCCTTTTTTCATTTGCATTTCGTTTTTCATTCATCCTTACTCCTGTGAGACTAGTCTGACTCTTTCCTGCTACTTTTATCACCATTTCATCTCTCTGTCCACTAGGAGCACTTTTTAGAGGTCGTGGGAGGCCAAGAGTTCCTGTTGCTCCCAGTGGAGGAGATGGAAAGGCTGCTCACGTCCGATGATGTCAACGTGCCAGACGAGGAAACTGTGGTAACCTCTTTGCTAACCTGGATCCGTCATGACGCTGCCACACGACAACGTCAGCTACCCTTGTTGCTGGCTCACATCCGACTGCCACTGCTGCAGCCACAGGTGAGAGCTGCAGAGAACTCTGTCACATAATGTATTGTAACAGACTTATTTAAAGAGGCTATAATTGATATTTTTGTCATATATTTATGTGTTAAGTGACAGTGTGAAAACAATGCGAAAGGCGTTTGCTGGTACTGATTAACCTACAGAGAGTTACCACCCAAATCCCACCCTAATATCCAGCTGCAACTTAGCCATTTTGCCAAACTGTTTATTTTGTGTGTGTGTCTCTTTGTGATTATCCTATGTATTGTTCATTATTCTCTACAAATAAGGAGGTTTTTGGAGTTCTGTGAATGCAGTGCAGGCAGAACTCTTCATGACCTTTTTTTCTTTTTCTCTCTCAGCAGCAGTTTATTGGGTTTGAGTCGGGGGGTGGTGAATTAATCCGTCAGTCAGTTTGTGGTTGGATTGATCAGAGCTGATCAGATCGATGCATTAGATTAGAGGAGCAGCTGCTGCAGAGGCACATGAAAGCAAAATTTTAGACCTTGAGCTGGATGGCGGAGTGCACAGTTTCCATGGGAACACAGCCAGTTTCATCTAAAAACAATGAACACCACTAAAATGAGAGCGCTGTTATTCTAAAAAATAGAACGTTCCATTTCTGTGTGAATTATGACCGAAGTTTCGCTTTGCTCTGCTCCATCTGCGCCCAGAGTACGCTATGCGCTCCAAGAGTGTGGTGCTCGGTAAATATATTTCAACAGTGCTCCAAATGAACTGGTCAGCAAAAACAGAAAAAAGATACATGGTGGCAAATGCTGATACCCAGGCAGGCCGCCACAAGCAAATGAATGTGTGGAAAACCCTGCACTTACGAAGTTAGTATCTGGGCTGAAAACAATTTAGTGTGACTTCCCTTTTATTGATAATAAAGAAAACAGTAAAATCTTGTCAAACAGTTTCATGTCAGTCAGTGTCAGTACATGATCAGCTCATCCCTGTAGTCTCTTTTCTCTCACTCTTAAATCCATTAAATGGGTGATGAATTTGAGTAGCAAAGAAAAGATTTATTACATACACTAATATGATATACATACACTAATATGATCATATTGGAGAAGCTCTGTATAAACTCTTGATGTCTTAATATCTGTTACAACAAAGTATGAGGCAAGTGTTTGCATCAGTCTTCCTCCCACTGATGTGCTGGTCTTTTTTCATGGTCAGATTTGTCTTGTGCTCTCTTCCTCTCCGTTCTTCTCTACCTCCTCCTGGCTCCAGTCTGTCTCTCTGTCTCTATCCCTATCCTCTTTAGGCAATTAGAGGGACTATAATCATTAACAGTAGATCACAACCATTACTCTGTCACATGTGTGCCTGTGTTTGTTGTGTCTGTGTACATTTGAGTGTGTGCATGTATCTCCTCCTCTCTCATCTTCCCGGCATGTACAGCAGAGTATCTTGACGGGTAATGCGATGCTGAGAAGTTTATATGCTAGGCAGAACCTCAGTTACTGCCTAGGGCGTTGGATGCACACACAAACCCACACACACACACACACACACGTGCACACACACACACACACACACACACACACGTTTTAAACCCTTAATTAAGTGTGATATCTCTCTTAACTGCAGCTAAATTATCTGTTCTCTTCATCTCCCTTATCAGTCATTTCCCTCCCTATATATAAAGAAAGTGTAGAGATAAAACCCTCGTTGTGGGCCCCCCTTCCACTTTCCATCTCTTCTGCCTGCGTCTATACATCTCCCAGGTTTGCACTTGTGCGGTGCACAGTATGAACACCTGAGATATACGACTTTGCCCTGGTCAGCTGAAATCACAAGTAGCTGTAACACGTAATCAGGCAGGAAGATGGATGGCAGAGGGGTGCAGCCATAGAATAGCATTAGAGTAGAGAGAGCTAAAGCAAGACAGACATAGAGCTGAGGGTTGATTCAGCCTTTAACAGTATATCACAACCGCCACCACCATGCTAAACTGATAAATATATTAACATTCAGCAACTTCATGAGCTGTCACATCCCAATAAACCGATGTATAAACCACACGCTGGCAACCGATCAATATTCATCAACCAATTAGTCAGCTTTCTATCTAGGCCACCATGCAATTCTTCATCAAGTGGGTGTCAATACACCAAATTAATACCTTTAATCCTTTCTCCCCGTTAACACTGTCACACACACACACACACACACACACAAACACAGAAGCACACACTGGGTCTAATCTTCTCAGAGGAGCGTCTATGGGCTGTTAATCTGACATTGTCCACCAAACAGATTGACAGGGCAGTAAGTGTGTGTGTGTGTGTCTTCATCAACAAGACAGCAATCATTGATCAGTCTGCTGATGTAGAGCTGGGCAATATGAAGAAAATCAAATATCACCATATTTTTGACCAAATATCTTGATATTGATATTGCAACGATATTGTAGAGTTGATTGTGCATTCAAATAATATTTACACAATGAGATTTTTTATAAATACTCATCACTAATGTGCAACAGCTATTACAGTCTGATAAGTTAAGAAAATGACATCACTTTACTGTAATGTAGCATTTAAAACCAGGCAAAGACAATACTCATGATGGGAATGTGGTTAGTTTTACAAGTGGGCAAAACTAAATTTTCACCCAATGATGACGCTAGAGGAAAAGTAAGGATCACCAAAGTTTATAAGCTTTA